CCCCAAAACCCCAAAACCCCAAAACCCCAAAACCCCAAAACCCCGAAATCTTCGAAACTTATTGAAAATTTAACAGTTAAATTTTAAAAATGGCTCAAGATTTAGAGTACCAACAAATGATTTTACAGTTCAATTCCGTCATGAGCGTCCTTTTTGTGGAAAAAGATGATATACAAGGAAAGCCTTTTGATAAGTAAGTTAGGGTTTTGAACTAGATTCATATCTTTAGCCTTCAATCTCTCAACTCAGCAGTTGCAGAAATTAAAAATCAACCGCTAAAAGGTGAATCTTCGTTGAAAAAGAATCATGATTTTGAAATCTTCAGGTTTGGAAAGAAATCACAGATCGAAGATTATCCCAATTTTGGTCTTCAAGAGCATTCTATTCGGAATAAAAGAGGTATATTCTAAGCTAAACTTTCATAGTAAGGAATAAAAGAATGAGGAGTGACAGTTACTGAGCTGCCACCCACAATTCTTCCCCTCAGGTAGATAAAGGTATAATTTAGAGATTAGCTTTAGGGTCTCACATGAATTATAATTTCCTTGCTGCTAAGTATGCCAAACTGTCACATAGTGATAAATAAGACTTACAAGCGTGACTATTTTTAACATCAAAGAAAGTTCTTTCATGAAATCTCCCTTCAGAAATTCTCGTAAAGACAGGAATATCTGACCAGAGATCAGGCAGGCTAGAATGGACAGGCAGAAGAAAACTTTTCAGAGAGAAAAACTACGCCTAGGCAGATTTATATAGCCCAGTCTTCATCTACAACTGCATCTGAATATGGGACAAATATTCAGAAGTTTAACAGCATTAAATACTATGAAAGGGCTCAACAGAAGGAGATTTCACCAAAAGAAGTAGACATGAAGGAAGAGACCAAATCAGATCAGGACTTACAGCTGGAAGTCAGAGAGCAGCCTGGTAAGAATACCAGTGAGCAATGTAAAGTTAGACAAAAGCAAACTCTGGAAGAGAAGAAACCTTTTAGAGAAAGAGAGCATAAAGATGTACTGAAAGTCCAGAAAATGAACTTTGGCAATAATTCATGTGATGTAATGGAACAGGACATGAAAAGTTATGATAAAGAGAATATGGAGTTGAAGGTTGAAAGAAGAAAGCCTACTCTATATGATTTTTATCAACCTCAGCCTTCAGATCTTGAAAGTAACTAAACTCTTTAAAACTTATAGGAGATGTTTCTGAGGATCTCAAAAGCACCAAACACTCTTTACCACTTCAAAGATCTACAAAATCATCAAAACCCTACCTACACCAATCTATGCTGTCCAAGGGCTCAAAATTGCTCAGATAACTCCTATCTCATCATCTTCCCTCCATTTCACCATAAAAATTCAAAATTGAAATCTCAATAAAATCTCTTTAAGCTGGGGTTTTGGGGTTTTGGGGTTTTGGGGTTTTGGGGTTTTGGGGTTTTGGG